TTCTGATCACCTTTATATTTTTCTTTTTGCCATGTGTTCTGTTGGTAATTATGCTTTGTTTGTTAGGGTTCATGTTTCTTTCATTTGTATTATCATTTAGATAGCTATAACAGTGCAAAATTTGATCATTCTTCTGAATCTTCGTTCTCTTAGTCATAGTATTTTTTTGAAGTAAAGCCTGTTTTGACAGGGAAGGATGATTCTGGCTCACTTGTGTGATGAACCCAAGGGCTTAAAGACTAATATGTGTATGGTATGTTGCACTCCTGAAACAGATGTTGTAGTCCCAAATTCATTTCCACTCATGGTTTATGTTTTCCTTCTTTTCTTCTTGTTGGTGGCTTTAGTGGATGTTGCCTGTCAATCTCTAATTTAATGAAGCAGAAGTCCTTTGAATCAGTACATTTTGTACAGAGAAATGTTTAGGAAGCTGAAATGTCTTTACAGTTCAACCGAATTTCTGGAATCATAGGTATTGTTACTCGAAAAATCATCTAAGGAGGTTTCTGATCGGTCAAATAGATAAATATAGAGCGGTATTATATAAACCTAGAACTTCTGATAATAACAACATATGTGGACTTTATTCTCTTTAGGAGCATACTGATTACCATCTTTTAATGAATTTCAAAAAGTAGCCTTATCAAGTTTGTGCAAGTGAATCTCCCAACACCCCCCCCCCCCCCCCCCCAACCCACATTTTATTAACACATCTTTTACAACAGCTGCAATTTCTCTAGCACATTAAAAGGTTAATGTAATAGTTGAATTTTCTTAGGTTGATCAGTTTTTGGGTGATTAATCTGCACCTGATTTTGTTGACCAAAATCCATCATGTTTGCTGGATGATCTGACCTGAATTGTTTATTTATGGTATCTGGATCTATATTTGTGATATCTGTTTTTTTGCAATACAAGCTCATTAGTAAGCCAAATTTGTTTCAGTGGAAATTTCAGAAAAAATGGCCCATTTTGTTAGATCAGTGGGTATATCATAGTGATTTTGATATTCTATGATATAAGTTCAGAGTATGCTTGCTCATAGGGCTAATATGCTATGCTTATAAAATTTATTAAATTGCTTGCTTGGTGTAGATTCAGAACAGTTTTAACTTTTCTCCCGCTTTTTTCTGTACTTGGTGAGATTTATCGCATTGTTCTATTGAACTTTTCAACATATAAGTGATAAGAGAATAACATGTTTTTAACACGTACCTTCCATTTTGCAGTCTCTGTTGTGTCTCCCTTTTGACATTGCAAATGCTCTTACTGCCAGACTGAATGATGGGTATGTTATATTTCTATTTATCTGGCACAGGTTAATGGATGCCAAATACTTCCCATTCGTTTCAATAGGGAATTGGGTTATCTTTGGCATTTACATCTATTCTGATTTACTCACGAAAATCTTTACTTTTGTGGCAGAATTCCTGTAGTTGATGAGAGGTCGGTTCTCCTTGCTTACTGTGTATACACAGGTACTGGGACTTTGCCTTTTTTGTTCATGTATATTTCCAGTTTCTAGAAATTCCTCTCTTCATTTACCTATTGAAGAAATCCTCGTCACAGTAATCCACTTGTCTTGACTTTGTCCATCCCTTTGTTTTTTTTTTTAATTGGAAGTTTATTGAATATGAAAACTTGTAAGTGCTTGATGTTGTGTTCAGTGCTTTGAGCTTTGTTAGAATTCTGTTTTTGGAATTCAGTTCCTTTACTAACACAAAACGATATTTAGTCTTCAATTGTATAATTGACGTTATTGGTCATGTTCTGTGGCCTACAATTCTTTTTTTGCTGAGTGGGACTATATCTGCACTTTGCAACATCGGTCATTCACAAAATAACTACAGCCTTGGGAATCAACTGTTTCAGGTGAGAAATGTTCTGTTTGACCTACATAGTATATTAATAAATTCGTCGGTATAATGTGTATCTTGTGCCAAACAGACAATGCCTTCTGTTTCTTTTGAGAGGGAGGGTTAGAGTTTCTTGAATTTTTGAGTTTTTTTCTTATAGATTCATGTTTAACATAATCAAATATGTTTTTATCAATTGATTTATATTCGCGGTTGTCCAAATTTAAGGCTGTTTCTAACCTGTTTTGTGTCTGTGGTTAGTGTAATTTTTAGTTTGTACTGGACCTAATTTTCTAATCTGGCAGAACCTTGTCCTTTTAGTTCTCTGCCAAATATTGTTATGTGCTGATGAGCTGCATCTAAGCTGTATTTTCCAAAACAAAAGTAACTTGAGTTTTCATCTTTAAACTGTACGATGGAGTGGTTGATTGTGGTCAAGTAATTTTATGTTGCAGTTTAAATTTTTAGAATTGTCGTTTTGGAAAATTATGTTGGTTTCTAAAAACTCTTTAAATTTGAATGTCAGGATAACTAGGAAAGAAGCTTGAGATGTGCTAACGTTGTATTCCGGGTATGTTTTTTTTTCCGTTTTTTGTGTTGTACATATTGAAGGTTTTACCTCCTTTATTTTTTCTTATCATGTTTAAGGTCTCAAGTTTGTTGTGTTTGGGAGCATGAAATCGCCGCCTTGGAAGTGGAGAAAAATCAGTAAATTAAACTAATTTTTTCCATTTTCAATTTCAAGGTGTTGTTTCCATGCTCACCTACATATAAAGTTTTATTCTAATTAATTGTTCCATTCACAATAATTTCTCTCTTTTTTGATATTCTCCAGTTGGCAAGGCAGGAATCGTGCTATAACATTTTGGTCTCTTGGCTACATATATATATATATCTATATATAGTCAAAACATGAATTTAAAAGTTAATACCTGGATCTAGTGCACAAGAGCCAGTTCAAATTTTCATTGTTATCCATTTGCTGTCCTCTTGGGAGGAATCCTTGTGTGGTATATAGTTGTCTGCCCTATTCTTTTTTCTTTTTCCACGTTTAGCTTTTGAGGATTATTTTTGTTTTCATACCGGATCTTAATCTCCGTGCAGGGATTATTTGTCTCCATATGATGTAATGGGGAACTATCCACATCTAGTTGTATTGGGAACAGGACTTTCATTTGGGTTCCTTGTGGTAAGATATCTGTTGTTTAATCTGTTGGATGTTAGAAATTTGAGTTGCATGGAGCAAGGTTACATGTGTTTAGTTAACATTTATCACAGACCTGTAGAAATAGTATTTGGCTTACATTGCCCTGGTCATTTGTGTTTTGCTGATTTAGTGCCTAAGAATTCATAGTTATTTGTCTACCTCTCATATTTACAATGGTCACCGTATGAGATGTAATTTATTCTGTAGATCCTTAAAGAACTAGGATTTCACTTATTCATGCAGTGGTGTATTATTGGCGAAGATGATGTTTCTTGCTGAATGCTTTCTGTTGGTGCATTACATAGTTCTGGAAACCTGTGTGCCTGCCTTGGTGTAAGCTTTAGCGATCAACATTTGCATTGGGTGAAAGCTGCATTATGATGAAAACAAACTAGGAATTAAGCGTGTTAGTCTTTCTTATTGTTTGGTGCTGAGTTTTGGGTGTTGAGAAAACAAATGAGAACAACACATTTATATAGCGGAAATGAGGATGTTATGATGGATGATAGGAATGACTAGAAGAGACGAGATAAATAATGAACGTGTGTGGAAAAATCTAGGAATAACGCCTGTTAATCATAAAATTTGAGAAAGTAGACTTAGGTGGTATGGTGATATTTAATGTAGACCAGAAGATGCCTTGGTTAGAAGAGGAAGAGTTGTTTGCCTAGAAGGTGAGCAACAAAGGGGCCGACCAAAATTTACATCAGATGAAGTAATTAAAAATGATTTTAAAAAATTAAATGTAAGAGAGACATGGTGTAGAATAGGAATAAATGGAAAAAGAGAATTTATGTGGCTGACCCCATCCATATGGGATAAGGGATGACAATGATGATGATGAATACTTGATATAACATATTTTTGAAATATTTGGTTTATATTATACTTCATTGACCTACTACCTTTTCAACGGAAACCACCCTTGCATTTTGGAAATGAGTTTTGCAAGATTCTTCAGTGAACACAAGCTGGTTTATTCCTCTAATTTTAATTATTTAGCATTTGTTCAGGGTCACGTAATATGAAGCCGGTCCCGAATCTGTAGTAGAAGTACATTCATCATGATATGTTGGAAATTTGTGCCAAGTAAAAAATTGTCTGATATTAACCTCTTCAGATGTTGTCAATCTGGTGAGACTATTTATAATATGCCTCCTTTATTATGATTGACCATGCACGACAACACTCTGATTCTTTTTGCCATGTGTTCTGTGGTAATTATGCTTTGTTTGTTAGGGTTCTTGTTTCTTTTACTTGTATTATCATTTAGATAGCTATAACAGGGCAAAATTTGATTATTCTTCTGAATCTTCGTTCTCTTAGTCGTCATATTTTTCTGAAGTAAAGCCTTTTTTTACAGGGAAGGATGATTCTGGCTCACTTGTGTGATGAACCCAAGGGCTTAAAGACTAATATGTGTATTGTATGTTGCACTCCTGAAACAGATGTTTTAGTCCCAAATTCATTTCCACTCATGGTTTATGTTTTCCATTTTTTCTTCTTGTTGGAGGCTTTAGTGGATGTTGCCTGTCAATCTCTAATTTAACGTAGCAGAAGTCTTTTGAATTGTTTCAATCAGTACATTTTGTACAGAGAAATGTTTAGGAAGCTGAAACGTCTTTACAGTTCAACCGAATTTTCTGAAATCATAGGTACTGTTACTGGAAAAATCATCTAAGAAGGTTTCTGATCGGCCAAATGGATAAATATAGAGCAGTATTATATAAACCTAGAACTTCTGAATAACAAGTTACGTGGACTTTATTCTCTTTAGGAGCATACTGACTGCCATCTTTTAATGAACTTCAAAAGTAGCCTTATCAAGTAGTGCAAGTGAATTGGATAACAAACAAGCACATTTTATTAACAAATGGAAAACACAATAGGGACTAAAAATATCACAGAATAAAAAAAAAAAAATTGGAATTTATTAATTAGTAGTGGTAGTAATTATTTTCCTATGATTCTCATTTGTTACCACGATCAAGCATGCATCAAAGATAAACTATCCACATGATTTGTGATACCAATACTAACAGGCCAACAAAAAGGTACCTTCCCCAATAAAATAGGCGGGGAAGCCTTGTAGTTGATGTGATCCCAATAAACAAAATAATAAGGTCTTGGTGTTGACCAAAAGTTCAGCTCCTTTGACAACATTAAGGTGAAAAGTATACCACACTCTTGTGGAGCCACAACAGTCTTCTGAACCCACTTCTTGTGACAATTCTCCTCTAATACCCATATTTCTGTGGTACTGGCATCACTATCCATATAGTTCAATAAAGCCAAACGCCCTTCAATTTTTGTCAAATTATACTTGGTACAGACAGCAGCATGAGGAGGAAGTGGAAAATCTGGGACCATTTTGGTCAAATTATACTTGGGACAGACATCAGGAGGAGGAAGTGGCAACCATCGGAACTTTTCGCTACCAACATCAAAAACCACCAGAATTTCTTCGTCACTTGCAGTCGAAGGCTTGGAGCAGATCCAATGTATCGCGCCATTGACACAAACACCTTCTTCTTTAAAGGCAAAACGTGGGTAAATCGTCACATCATCCACACGAATACACTGGCTTCTCGACACACAAGGTGGTGGAGTGATTTTTCTCCATGACCCAATATCATCATCATCGTCATGAGAATTGAAAACTAGTTTGGGTTCCTTTGAACCAACCTTTATTGTGAACACTTCACATTGCAGGTCAGATAACCTCCTGGTGCGCATATAACGCGTACCCATTATGTGCAACACTTTGTACTCGTTGTTGGAAGGATCATATCCAAAAGAATAACCAGAATAATATTCATATCCATCTTCATCAAGTTTACAGTTAGTGTAATCACTTGCAGGCGGCGGTAGGGTTATGGATCTGCGAATGCTAGGGTTGATGACATAGACATTATGGCCGTTGTAGAAACATACTAATCCGTTAAGGCATTCGGAAACATAGCACTCGCAAGGCGAACTGCTTTCATTCTTCTTACAGCCGGGCATCGATAGAAGATGGACCGGTGCCCCTCCTTCAACACTCGCAGAATAAAAGTAATGGTCCGAGTCCGAATCCGAGATAGACAAAAGGAATTGGGGGGGACGAGTACGTGATTGAGATTGGGTGAAGTGCACATCCACAAAGGAAGGGCTGTGGATGATGGCGTGCCAGCTTTTGCAAACGGATCGGAATCTCAAGAGGGACTTCAGGGGGAGTCTTGAGATTATCTCTAAAATCATATCTTCTGGAAGTGGTCCTCCTGTTGTACAAGGATTTGGGTTTTTTGAGGGGGTTTTCTTCTTTTTGGGTGAATAAAAATCATTTAGTGAAGATACAAATTTTGAGGAGGCATCATCACTTCTTTGGTTCTTGTTAGTCATTCTTGTTTGCTTCTTTTCTATTGCTCAGTTTCAGAATATGGTTCTCTCTTTGTGTTGCAAGTTACCAACTTATATATATAGAATTGCGTTTCACCTGATGTTTCCCAAATTAGAGTATGTTTAGGATTTCGAAAGCTACTAGGATTACTAAATCAACAACCACCACAAAAGGGCAAAAAGTTATATATATATATATATATATATATATATATATATATATTTTAAGTTTCCTAAATCAACACCCTTCTCCCTTATTTTAAGTTTCCTAAATCAACAACCGCCACACAAAAGGAAAAAAAGTTATATATATATATATATATATATATATATATATATATATTAAGTTTCCTTATTTTAAGTTTCCTAAATCAACATACTTCTCCCTTATTTAAAGTTTCCTAAATCAACAACCACCACAAAAAGAAAAAATGTTATATATATACACACACATTAAGAAAAGGCACACGCCATAAATGTTTTGTTACTCATAGAATTTTATTTTCATATATATTTTTTAATTATTAATTTGAAACTTTTAACAATAAACCTTACCAAAAAAGTTATATATATATATATATATATATATATTTCCAAACTTGGTATTTTTGGGCCAATAAAAAGTGTTCTTATTGAATTCATCATAAAACACAATACAAGTCTTAATGCGTTAATCCAGAAGTAAAAAAGAGTACTTTTACCAGAAGAACACTGAATGGTGGAGCCGTAACCTTTGAAATTGGCGGAACGGAGGGCATCGACGACGGCGTCTTCCGCTAAGTGAGTGGTCCTAAAGCACGGAAATGCCAGAGGAATTGTTGGCCTTTTATTTTAAGTTTCCTAAATCAACAATAACATATTAAATGCTCATATTTAAGATTAGAAGTTTTTAAGAGGACAAGTAACTGATGCTTAATAAATTATTTAAAGAAATTAAACAAAAATGACACTTTACAATCTTAGCTTAATATATTATTTTAAAAAAATTAATAAAAAGAGACACTGTACAACCTCGTGTAAATCATAAAGATCAAAATCAACAACATCATTGGAATTGAGATTCAATGAACACATTGTGTATTTCCTTAGATGTCATAGACTCGTAGAGTAAGTGGTAAGTTAAATGTAAAGAGAATTTTAGAAATAAAATTTTAGTACATAGTGATACATGACTAAACTCATTGAAATAAAAACAAAAGAATATGTGGGAAAAAATTATGTTTACCAATAGTAAGGTAAAAACTGCAAAGAGTCACTTATATGTTGCAATGCAAATTGTTTAGTATTTGTTGTTGAACTTGAAACATGCTTCCTTTGCCTTGCATGAAAAATTAGATAAAATAGTAAAATTTGAAATTCATGTAAATGATTATACATAGAGTAATCTTACTTATTGAATGTTCAATTTCTTTGTTGAATTGATTCTCACTTTTTTTCACATGCCTTTGGCCTTCATTTTGTTTTTTGGCCTTGAATTCATAAATGATTTAATTCTCTCACAATCGAGGGAGGATCTATGTAATTTCTCGTGATTATCCGAATTATTGAAAACTACACAACCATTTATTATCATTTCAGATTCAACAGGCTTTGTTGCTAGTTTTTTTTTTCTTGCATCATCAATTTTGTTTTGACTACTTTCACAAACCATTCATAACCAAGTTGTGAATTTCCTAATGTATGTCACTTTTTTTTAGCAATGCTTGGAGCCTCACGACAACCAAAACGCCATTGGCACATGACAATCAACGCATTTTTTCACCTATTTCATCCACCACCGAGCCAGACTTTGTGTAACAACCCTCACTCTACCCAAATACAATATTGTTTACTTTTGGTTACCCCAAACCAGAGACTTCTCAGGAAATCACCCATACATATAATAATTCACCTTCCCAAGGCGATGTAGAATCATTGTATGACCCAAATCTGTAGATCCAAATCACTAATCGGGTTCAAACCTGACCCAAGGGCATAAAGGGTAAAATGGTCATTATGTACCTCCATATATTCTAGGAGTCATATTGATGGCACACCAATCATTTCTAACCAAATCGGATCATGACATAGTGATAACCTCGACTACGGGCTCACTCTAGGTCCCTAGGGTTGGTAAGGGTAAATGGTCATTTCATGTAAAAATTATTGAATGAGACTAACACCATTAGAAAAATGACTAAAAAACGTGTGAATTGGACTCAAGAACGACCCTATTTGGGTCTAAAAAGAAGAAGTTATGAGTATTCAAAGTTCGGACGCAATTTCAGAAAAATAAAAAATGGGGGGGGGGGGGGGGGGGGATTGATTGCCTACCCCCGACAAAACCCCAATTTTGTTTTGGAGGGGGGTTGTGATACCTCTAATTTCGAAACACGAGTTGATCAATAATACACTGAAGAAACAATTAAAGTATTTAAACAAGTACAGATTATAAAATGAAATAAAGAATAAATAATACGCTGAAGAAAAACTAATAAATAATAAATTCATTAATAATTCTCCAATGATTACAACTCGGAAATCCTGTAACTTAAACACCCCTTAACCAAAAATCACTATCCAAAATTCATCATTAAATACTAATGTCAAACGAAGTAATAATATCCTACTTTGAAATAAATAGAAAGAATGGATATGTACTCAAGCTGTAAATCTTCAACCTTGAGACTTGAAACTCTAGTAACCTGAAAGATAAAAATAAAGTGGGTCAAATCCACGAGCAAGTTCTCTCCACCAAACCTCTGAAAAACAATAAACAAATCATCTATACCAAAACCAACTCTAATAAAGTTTTAACTTTAATGTACGATGAGACACACACACACACACACACACACACACACATAAATACTTATATATAATACAATAATCATATCCATTAATAGGTTCATTAAATTGCTAAAATCATTAACCAATGATTAATTAATAATCATTCCTAAACCAATCCATCAATATATATTTCTTTTAAAAAGAAACTTATCTAACTTTAATTCCATCCTAGATAGTAATTTAATTTTTTACAATAAATTACAATTAAAGAAATAATATATTTAATTCAAAACCCAATAATGATTCTTAATTATTTAAATCACACAGCCAATATCTAAGCTTCGACACATCGTCCATGTCTCCACCAATATTATTTTATTAATATATATAAAATAATACACTAACCTGTAAGTACTAGATTATTTTAATTTAAGAATATTTAATCCTAATCTAACCTATACATACAATAACCATAGATGAAATTGTAATTATCTAACACATAACAACTTAATTATGAAATGACAATTCAACCATGTCATTATAAATATATTTATTTATATATTAACAATTCAATCATACTTCCCATATATGAAATTTATTCATAAATATAAGGCAATATATTTAAGACTTTGACAATTCAACCATACCTTCAATTCAACCATATACCAAACCTTAAAACTAATTTAATCATAAACCAAATCATACATAGGCATTCCATGTATATAATAAACATACCACTTAATTTAACAACCAGCCTATTAAGACATACCAAATATAAGAATAATAATTAATTATCTTAAATAATATATACATATGCACATATATTATTTGATATATATATATATATATATATATATATATATATATATGTATATATATCAATACATATATACATATATCCTTCCACACTAATCATACATTAACTAATTTATATATATGCATATATAAAATATATATATATATATATATATACACACTTCCTTCCATCCCCAATTATTGATTAAATATATATACGCACATTAAATACCATAGTGATATTCTATGCCTCTCAAAACACCACGAACACATCCTCCAATAGTTGTTTTCAACCTTAACAGCTTAAAAATCAATTTTGGGAATTCACTGGACCTCACAGGAACTTCCATGGACCTCAAACATCCCTGCACGCACCGCCACGCTCCTCCACAATCGCCTAGACCCATTGCACGCACCTCTACGCGCTATCACAAGAAGCCACTTGTCTTCACGCTCTCACATGCGTTCTCATGTGCTGCCCACGTGCCTGATTGCTCCTCTGAGTGACGTGGTGTCCTCTGGTTAGTTAGTTCTCCTTGTTCTGGTGAGCCGCGTCCCACTGTATTACTTTTTTATTGACTAGATTAGGTCAACGGTTTAGATCTATTGCGCACTTATTCTCCATGGACATCTACCACACCAGATTAATCTACTTAGATTAAATCAATCCAATGGCCTAGATCAGAGTGTGCACCTTTTACCCATGTACATGACCACACCAGAATATCTGAAAATCATCAGGACCATCTTAAGGTCCTGATTTTAGGCGCATAGAAGTGCTGCACTTCGCGACTCACTAAATCACAGCCTCTTATTTGTTGCGCCGATACGTAACAGTGGCATATATTTAATTTTAAAAATTATAAAAATAATTCCAAATACATTCCAGAATATTCCTAAAAATACAAAAATAAATTCTAAAAATAATCTGAAAAATCCAGAAAAAACCCAAAAGCTTAATTTATTATTTTTGGGCATATATGAACATGTATAATTATATTGAGATTTATTTAATTTAATTAATCATGCTAAACAAGATCAAAGCAGCCTATAGAAAATAAAATTTAATTAATATAACCACACATGCAAAAATTAAATTATCATAACAATACATACATATATTCACATGTTTAAATCTATAATTTTGTAAAGAATAAACATGCTCATATAATTCGATTAATAAATTATTTTTAATTTGATAATCAAGGTGATAGGCTTATGAGTTTTAAGAGGAGAAGTAGAAAAGAAATCGCCTGTCTCTTCCAAATCTGACGTCCTATTTCTCTGATTCGGCCTCCCCTTTGTCAGCCCTTCTTCTTCTTCTCTCTCTATCTTTCTTATTTTTTTAACGTGAAAACCTTTAAACCCTAAAGTCTTATGCGAATATTTATGCACATTAAAAATCTAAATTATTTTCTAATTATGACTACCAAATAAAATAATAAAAATAATAATCTTTAAAAAATAAATATATATACACATATAT